GAGAATGTCATTCTAAGTGAAGTAAGCCAGAAAGAGAAAGAAAAATACCATATGAGATGGCTCATATGTGGAATCTAAAAAACAAAAACAAACAAACAAACAAAAACAAAGCATAAATACAGGACAGAAATAGACTCATGGACAGAGAATACAGACTTGTGGTTACTGGAGGTGGGGGTAGAGGGTAGGAAGGGATAGACTAGAATTTCAAAATTGTAGAATAGATAAACAAGATTATACTGTATAGCACAGGGAAATATACACAAAATGTTATGATAAATCACAGAGAAAAAAATGTGACAATGAGTGTGTATATGTCCATGAATGACTGAAAAATTGTGCTGAACACTGGAATTTGACACAACACTGTAAAATGATTATGAATCAATAAAAAATTTAAAAAAAAATTAAAAGAAACAGTACTGGATTAGATAAATACTTTAATCAGTATTAATTTTCTGATTTGATAATAGTTATATAGGAGAATGTTTTGTTTTGTTTTGCTTTTCCTTTTAGGAAATATATGCTGAAGTATTTGGATGTGTAGGGGTATCATAGCTTCAGTATACTCTCAATTGGTTCAGAAAATAGAGAAAAAGGGACTAAGAAAGCAAATGTGATAAAATGTTAACATTTGAGTGATCTGGGTGAAGAATTTATGGAAATTCTTTGTACTATTTTTTGCAACTTTTCTGTAAGTCTGCAATTATTTCAAAATAAAAAGTTAAAAAAAGACAGACAAGGCCATTCCCAAAAGTAGGTGCTCCGCTAGTACGCATATGCATGCTATTTTCTCACTTTTTTGAGATGCGGATTTAGCATTTCTCCCTTTATTTTTCAGTTAAAAGAATTAAGTAATTTTTCAGTTAAAAGTATTAAAACAGTGAGAAGTGTCACATAATTTGTATGGTGGTTTTCGAAAAATGAGACCATGAAACAATACTTTTGGCTAATTCTGTAACAATGTATAGGTTAACAAGGTAGTATTCTTTAGGAAAAACTTTGCTTAACTTTTACCTTTGTGTATGTTCTGCAGCCTAAATCTGTCATTGTTGGATTAATTAAAGAAATGATTGCCAAGTTTCAAGAGGAACTTCCCCTGTATGCTTTATCATCATCTGACGAGGCACGGCAGGTGGACTTGCTAGCCTATATTGCAAAAATCACTGAAGGTTTGTATTTTTCTTAAGCAGAGAGCTATGCGTTTACAATTTCCCACTAATATCTTTTACTTCTACTACTTGATTTCTATAAATAAATACATACTTGTAGTATATGTACATATCTGTGTTGAATCAAAAATTACTGTATGTTTATCATGGGGTATTACCATACAGTTCCAATGAATATGGTTTCTTAAAATGTAAAAGATTACTTTTATACTGACAGACAAAATAATTCATGTTTTGTTCAAAACCACTTGATACATATATAATGATTCCAAACCTTTTTCATTATATGTTTTATGTGACTTTTTGCCTCATTCAGTTTATTGGACCAAAAAAATCTATGATTCTCATTATTTCTCACTGAGGATAAAGCAGAATACCCATGCTTGCAAAATTTAGTAAGTGTTAAACATTTTTTTGCATTATAGACTAGAGCAGTAAGAATCATGGTGTTTTTCAGAATTATGGAAATCCTATTTTTTTAGAGTCATATAATTTTTGAATGTTTGGAAAGATATTTTCTTTTTAAATAGTAGCCTCTATTTATTAGAATATTTAATATGAGATTCCTGTCTTTCTTGCATTTCATTTGTCCAGCAGTATTTTTGAGTGCCTATTATGGAGTACCTCATACCATGCTTTCTGTCCAAGTTATTGAAGTTTGGTGTATTTTTTTTAAGATGCTAAAAAGATTTTTGATATTATTTTTAGATTCTCATGATAATCCACTTTTCTTGCTAGGTGTCTCAGATATAAATTCAAAGAACTGGGCAAATTATGAGAATAAAACAGTCAATAAAATTACTGTGGTTGGAGGTGGAGAACTGGGAATTGCCTGCACGTTAGCAACTTCAGCAAAGGTATGTAAGCATAGTGGTTATAATAAATACATCTGTCATATTGCTACACTTAGGCAGTTTCTGTTTAATACACAAGAAATAATGACTTCCTTTTGTCATGTGGGAAAACCTCATTTTGCCTTAAAATATATTTAGTAAGTTGACAAAAAATAGCTGAAAGCTCTCATCAGTAATGTTGCTTCTTAATTAGTAGTTAGTCATGGAGTAGGCTTTGAAAATGTGTTTTGAACAATGGGCTCATCATCCTAATCCAAGAGAAACCTCAACTTGACATTCATCTGACTTAGTCACAAATTCTTTTTTGTTTTCTGAGTCATGCTGCTTTAATTAAACCCTTTATTTAATATAATATTTAATTTAGCTCTTTCTAAAATTAGCATTTTTAAAAACAATTGCCTTTTCTTGTGTAATTACTCCACTTTCTTTTAGGATCGTAGTTCCTGATTTGGTATTTTACACTAGTTTGAGATTGGCTAATTTTTCCATCAGTCCTTTTTACTAGGTCTTTTCTGTATAAATTATTTTCAGAAAGGCTTAAATCCCTCTCCAGAGAGGTTCACAAGACCCTCCAGGGCCCAGTATTTTGGTAATAGCATGTCTGTGTCATTTGAGGGATGTAGCCCAGAATAGACTAACTTTCCCTCTATATGTTTATTTGGTAATTGGCATTTGGTTTTGTTTTCTATTCAAATTTGATTGTTTGCCATCTAAATTCTTCCTTTTATATTTAAGATCACATGTGTCTTGGAGGTAGGTTCTACTTCATTAATTGAATAATAAAATTGTATCCAGGGAGCTAGACGATTTTAAAACCTGGCTGTTCAGAACAGTATATGCTAACTTTTGACATACTATAGTTTCATTTCCTCCACCATCTGAATGCACTCTTCTTAACTGGAATTTGAATTGTTTGCAGTTCTTTTGCTATTAAATAGAATGCTTCTATAAACATTGCCTTACAAGTTGCTTATTTTCTTGTCTGAATTTTCTTTTAGGTGTACATAATCTCAGAAATAGTACTAGTGAGTCAGAGGGTTTGGATGGTTTTTATGGTACTTATTACATATTGCTAGATTACTCTTCAGAAAGGCAGAACTAGTTTATGCTGCTAATAACAACGTGCCCATCAGCCTGAGTTTTGACATCCCTGGCAGTATACTGAGTTTTATCCATTTTATTTGTTTTTGGTAAGTATAAGAAGGTCCCTTAAAGTCATATTTCTTTAACTGTTAGAAGTCTCACTATCAGGATTTCTTTTTTTTAAACTTTATTTATACATTTTTAATTAAAACAATAGGCATAAACCAAAAAGAAGGGGAAAAAAATCAGGATGAAGTGCCACTGCCATTTTGTTTGCAGAGAGGTATCAGGAAATGGAACAAATTACCAGGAAAACATTCTAAGATCATCCCAAAGCAGCTAGGTTACATGTTACATGTAAAATGCCAAAGTTCGATATTAGCCCACTTAATCTACAAATGAAAAAAGGGAGTCAAAGTTTATCCATTTAGTACAAGACTTTTTATTTTTACATTAAATACATGCTGATTCATTTCTCAGAAAGTGATAGCAGTAACTCTTGGAAGAAAGAAAGCCGCATCGCACAATGACTAGAAAGGCTCCAGCGCAGCCCTGCAGCCGCGCTGCGCTCCGTCTGTGCCGTGCGCTGCTTGGGGCGCTGCTCTACTCTGGGCGCTGTGCGTCTCAGCGGAACGTAGGACCGCACGTGGGCTTTAGAGAGGTAGCAATAGTTGTATTTTGGCTTTTATTCTAGATGCTTAACGTAGTTAAGGCGACAGTTCAAGCATGTTAAGTGAAGGTAGTTAAAATTTAATGATAATCAACACGCTTTCTTGCAAGCTACAAACACTGTATAATGCTTACCTGGAATGGAACCAGTGTTTCTTAATTGGTGTTTTACACACAGAACTAAAAAGAAAAGTAATCATTCTAAATTTACTATGGTAACACGATAAAAATGCAAATATACCATAGAACTAAAGTAATGTGAACAGCACTACTTGATTCCTAAGATAAAGGTGATTGATTCTAGCAAAAAAACTGAGCCTGTATCAATCATCTTAATCACGAGGCTTGCAAAAGCATCAAGCTTCCAGTAAAGAAACTAGCCTACGACAGTCAGTAAATCTTCAAAGTGTTCACATCTGTAAAACCAGGATGAGGCTACAGCTGTCTTGAAGTCTGAACAAGATATCAGATCAACCAGTAAGATTCCTAGCCCTACTGTAAGACAGAAGGTCCTCATGCAGCATGTGCTCTCTGGCTCCTAGAAAGCTTTGTGTGCATAATATGAAGTTAAGTTTCCGAGGAAGTAAACTGGAGAAGTTCAGCGAGCATCGCTGTGCGGTGACTCTTACACCTCAGGAGTGGTGTGATCCATCAGGCTCTTCATGATGCTTGGGGCGATCCATTTAATAATATATTCAAAGATAAGAGCAGGCATGATTATAGCGGTAACTACACTCCCAGCTGTTGACAGTATGTCTGCGATTTGAGAGTCCTTCAGTCCGATGACTTTCTGCCCGTTGACCTTGCAGATGTTGTGTTCTGTGAGAAGCTCGTTTCTGGCTGCAGAACTGTCTTTCACTATGGATATTATCTTCCTGTTTTTAAAGATAAAGCCGATGTGTCCGATACTGTCCTTATGCATGGTGATTGTTCATTTAAAGGGCCTGTCACAAATGGTCACGGTCACCTTCTCTCCAAAGGCCTGTTGGAGCACCTTGTGTGCCCTGTCGGAGCTCCAGCCCTCACAGTTCTCCCTGTTGATCTGGAGCACCTGGTCCCCGAATCTCAGACCAACCAGTGAGGCTGGGGAATTCTCCTGGACTAGCTGAACAAATAAACCATTATCTATTGATTTAAGCCTGAGCCCAATTTTTCCATCTTGATCCTTATACAGAATGACTTCATGTATCCCTTGCTTAATTTCTGCTCTATGGATTCCAACATCATTACCAGTTATAGGAGCCACCATATAGTTCATACTGGAAGGTCTTGCTACCATCTGCCCCTGAATTGGTGCTCCAGGGACCATGCCCATATTTGCACATATTTCTTCTTCATTTAAACTCAGGCCGATGTACTGAGAGAGCTCAGGATACAGTTTAAGATAGAGATTTCCATCCTGAGATATGGGAGCCAAAGCCTCAAGACAAAATTGCTGGGTTGGCAGGGTTTGCAGAAAAGGCAATTTGAGCCTGAATCACTTTTTCTACCTTCAGGTCTTCAAGGCTTCTTTTTTTTTTTTAATTTTTTGGAGGGGGAGGTAATTAGGTCTATTTATTTATTTTTAGAGGAGGTACTGGGGATTGAACCCAGGACCTTGTGCATGCTAAGCATGCGCTCTACCACTTGAGCTACACCTTCCCCCACTTCAGGTCTTCAAGAGATGGGTACAGAGACATTTTTGCAGGATTTTGCTAGCCGCAGCCTCCGGTCACTGGCTTGAACTTCCGAGACCCCACTAACAGTATTTCTTTGTCCGTGAACTGTCTAGATAGAAAATTTTTCCCATTTTTCCTTTTAGGCATAAATATTTTTGTACAAAGTGCAATATTCAAGTGGTGCAATAATATTCAAGTAGTGCAGTAGTAGTCATAGTAGCAGTAGTTGTGGTGGTAGCAGCAGTAAGTAACCGTTACTAAATGCTTACTAGGAGGTGGGCACTCATCTAAATACTTGATTCATTTTTACAACAACCTTATGGCTTAGGTACTATCATTACTGTCATTTTACAGATGAAGAAACCAGGGCATAGGGAGGTTATCCAACTTGCCAAAGTCACATTATTAATAAAAGGAGCCAGGGTTTGAAGCTAGGCAATCTATTTACAGAGCTTGCATTCTAGATCCTTACTATCCAATGTATGGCATTGGCATTATCTGAGATCTTATGAGAAATACATAATATCAGGCCCTACTCCAGATCTAAGGAATTAAATCTACATTTTAACAAAATCCCGGGTGATCCATATGCTTCACTGATCTATTAAATGGTGATCCCTTAAAGCTTGAGAAGCTCTGCTCTAAGCAACTATGTTACACGCCTCCTTGTGGTTGTAGTTGTTAGTGATAGACATTTAGGTTGTTTCTAGTCTTTTGAATATCTTTACACGTATTATTTTACGTATGTACTAATAAACTTGTAGGATAATTTCTACAGATGACGTTGATGGATTAAAGGATTTATTGTGTTTTTAAATTTGGATAGAAATTGTCACATTACCCCCCGTATCAATTGTACAAGCTTATTCTCATACCCACAGTGTATGAAAATACCTATTTTCCTGTACTGCTGTTATTAAACTTTGGGATCTTTGCATGTCTGATAAATGAAAAATGGTAATTCATAGTTTTCTTTTCATTTCTCTTATGAATGTGGTTAGCATTAATAAAATTAACAGGTGCAATATAGAGAGGACTGCTCTCTGCCAGCACTGCATCACAGTAAATCCTCATGACTCCATAAATAAGACCGAGTTCAGTGATTTGCCTGGTATTACAGAATTAGTAAGTAGTATAGCTGAGTTGTTTTCTTAACTTGTACACTTCCTGCTTCATAGTCTAGTAGATCCCTGGGTGGTCTTGCCCCTGCACCCTAAGATAGGAGAGATGCTTATATCCCTTACTACTTTGGAAAAAGGACTTCCACAAAGGTAAACCGACTCTTAGGAGTTTCCATCTTGTCGTTTATGATCAGCCCACCATGACATCCAGGGAGCCGTCGACAGGCATGTGGAATATTTTCTGTGAGATCTCTGGGGAGAGAGGTGCATGATAATTGGGTTTTATTTTAGCTCTATGACTATTATCTCTTTTTTCAAGGGAAACTTGGCATTAGTGTTGATTTTCATGCTAGAAATGAGGTGCTAAAAGAAACCCAAAAAATCACTCTCAATTCTTTCAGAATAGAAATTATGACATAAAATGGAAATATGAACTCAATATAATGTATTGAGTGCACCATGTAATCTTTATTACTCATTATCCCCTCAAAACAAACCTGCAATCTGTGACTTCTGAGTTAAGCCCTGTTAGATCCCCGTTTTTAGTTACACCTAAATGATCACATTATTCAAGCGCGTAATATTTTCTTGCTTTCATGTCTCTGTTACTGCTGTTGTGTTACTTTTCCTTTGTAAGACAGCACGTGAGGCCTATGCATTCGTTCTCGCTTATCTCTCACTTCTGAATGAATTTAAACTGAGTAACTGGCCATGTCCAGTGTAATGCTGTTCTTTTTCTTATTGTATAGGGCATTGCAGACAAACTGGTCCTTTTAGACCTCTCAGAAGGGACTAAAGAAGGGATGATGGATCTTGACATCTTCAGCCTGCCTAATGTGGAGATCAGCAAAGGTCTGGTTATTCTGCTTAAAAGATTTTTGCCTTGTTTGCTCCTATATTTCAGTCCCAGAATTTTTTTGTAGACTTTATTTTTTAGAGCAGTTTTAGGCTCAGAGTAATATTGAGAAGAAGGTACAGAGATTTCCTGTTATCCCCTGCCCCGACCCATGCATAGCCTCTGCATTGTCAGTATTCCCTACCTGAGTGGTACAATTGATGTACCTACCAACATGATTATCATCCATAGTTTAGAGTTCACTCTTGGCTTTGTATATTCTATGGGTGTGACAAATCTATGACATGTATCTACCATTATAGTGTCGTACAGTGTAGTTTCACTGCCCTAAAAATCCTTTTGCTCTGTCTAGAGTCCTAGAATTTTAATGCTGAAAGCACCGTAAAGATCATTTAGTCTACATCCCTCATTTTACATATTGGGAAACTAAGATTCATATAAATTAAAGGATCCACCCAAAGTCATGCAGAGACTGCAACTAATTATGTTAAAAAGAATCAGATAAACAAATAACATTCAGATTGTTTACAAGGGTTTATTCTTGGTCCCTGGCTTATACCTTAGTATAAATTTTTTTCTGATTATTTCCTTTTTCATAACATACTGGTTAAGAACACTGATTTTAGAGTTAGATAGATGGGGGTTTGCACACTATCTCTGCTACATAATAGCTCTTACATTTGTCATATTATATAATTTCTCAAAGTTCAGTTTTATTATCTGTAAAGTGGGAATTAATACCTACCTCTTGGTGTATAGCAGAGTGCTAAACTGAGATTTTTTTTAATTCAATTCACATTGCTTTCACTAAAAATATATTGTTAAAATAAGTTTTAATAAGAACAAAAAGGGGTTTTGTACCATTAATAAATACAATTTATAATGTTAAATATAATTTATAATGTTAAAAAAGTAATTTTTATTTGACCTTTTAAATTTAAAAATGTGCATATAGTTAATAATGTACATAATATGTTAGTACAGATATGTATATGTAGGTATAAATACCATATTTTGGGATGTAAGCTTAAAAATATTTTATTACCAGGATGCATGATCAAAAAAAATGCTGGAAGACCACTGAACTAGAGAATGTTTAGTCTTCCAAAGCCAGGTTATAGCTAGAGTCAGGTTGTAATATGTATAGTTGCTTAGCTTTCCTTTGCCTTTCCTTACTCAGGTCTCCTGTATTCTTGACCACATTTTCCAAATAAAATATCAAGACATATGGTTACACAAACCTGTATATACTAAGAACCACAGTGGGTCAAAAAAGTTGAAATTATACCTATTGGGTATAAAAATTGGGTGTAATAATTCTGGCAAGCCTCTGGATCTCTGTAGGATACAATGGATTTATTTTCCTTCTCTGGAAAGGGTGCAATAATTGCTTTAATGATCCTTTTGTAGGCCTCGTATAGAGGATCCCTTGGGGAGCTGGATATTCTGTGCCTGTTATTTCCAGATCCTGAAGTTCTTAAGGGACCTTTTAATTCTTGCAGATCACTCCAGGAGACTTTAGTACATGGACCCTAGGGGTTGTGAGGCTATTTAGGACCTGAGGAAATTGTTTCTTCCTATGTGTCTCATTAACTATCAATGACTATTGTTTCAGATAATTGCAAGAATAGAATCCTTGGAGTAGGTGTATATGGCATGGTGCTTGCCACCAAGTAAGGTGTTTTGAATGAATGAGCACTATATTGGGGCAGCTTTCACGTTCCCCTTGTTAACTTTGGTTGTACATTCCTGATAACACTTAATTACTATTACATGAAGCAATTTAAAATATAATGTTAACGAACATCTCATAAATATGTTCTCTGATATGAAGAAGTACATGAATAATTTTGGGAAATTAAGCTCATTTGGAAATTTTAGTAATGCCTCATCATGACAAGCATTGGTGATTGCAACTGACTGATCATCCTAGAGTTGTACTTTGTTCCATTTGGATTTTTAAAAAACAGCTACTCTAATACTTTGGGGAGGGATATACATATGTATATATAAGCCTTTAAATCTACATACTGTACATACTGTGTGCATAGACTAAATCTGGAGAATACTAAGGAATTGTTAAGAGTAGTTGCCTCAGGAGTCAGATTGGCGAAACTGGTTCTGTACTTGTTTTTTGTACTTAACATTTTTATCCCTTTTTTTATTGTGCTAAAATACATATAACATAAATTTACCATTAGTAACATTTAATACATTCACAGTGTTTTGCAACTGATACCACTATCTAGTTCCAGAACATTTTCATCACTCCAAAAGGAAGCCCTGTACACATCAAGCAGTCACTCCCCATTTTCCCCAGGCCCTGGCAGTCACTAACTGCTCTATGGATTTGCCTCTTCATATATTTCATTTCAGTGGAATTATACAGTGTGTGGCCGTTTGTGTCTAGCTTCTTGCACTTAGCACAATGTTTTCCAAGTTCATCCATATTGTAGCATGTATCAGTACGTCAGTCCTTTTTATGGCTGAATAATATTCTGAATTATGGATATGCCACATTTTATTTATCCACTTATCTATCAGTTGATGTACATTTGGGTTGCATCTTTTTGCTATTGGGAGTAGTGCTGCCGTGAACATTTATGTACAAGTATCTGTTTGGACACCTCTTTTCAATTCTTTTAAGTATGTGCCCAGAAGTGGAATTGCTAGGTCATATGACAATTCTGTATTTAAGTTACTGATGAATTTACAGTATCCTTTTGGATACTCCTTTTGGAGATCTTTATTAACAACACATAGAGATCTGAATAGCTCTGTGTATTTCTTTGAACAGCTTCATAATATTCCATCATATGGATATCTGTCTCCCATTGGTAGACATTTAGGATTTTTTTTTATATTTTTGTGATTACAAATAATGCTGCAGAGAACATTGTAATATGAAAATCTTTGTGTACTTCTCTACCTAATAGGAGAAAGTAGAATTACTGGGTCAAAAGGTATGTGTTTTTAAAATATATGTTAAATTATACCAATTTATACTCTCCCAACAGTATATGAGGGTTTTTGTTTTCTTTCTCCTGATTATTTTATTTTATATTAAACATAGCGAATGGAATAATTACCCTATGATATTATTTCGATAATATCATTTCCTGGCTGAAGACACTATTATGTTGATCTCTTATCCCTTAATAATAATAATAGATACCATTTTTTTCAGGGAATGAGTAGTATATGCTAGATAACTTACATATATTCACACTCCATTACTTCTCTACTTTATTTTATAGATGGCTTAGAGAGGTTGTGACTTTGGTCACACAGTAAGTGGCTGGGCTGGTGTTTCAAACCTGTTTGTAACCAATTTCTAATGATTCACTCCAGAAATAGTCTATGCATATACAAGCATAAATCTTTCTGTATATGGGCATGTGTATGTGTGTACCTGGGGAAAAAAGTGTTCGATAGTTGCAAATTAAAAAATAAGTTGTTGCTGACATATGGAGCAAAGTAAATAGCCACTGGTTCTTAAAACATGGGTTATAGATTGATCACTTGTGTGAGAATCATCAAAGTGCTTTTTAAACTTGCGGGAGCCTGGTGTTCACTCCAGGGCTATGGAGAGATTAAAGGGTTGTGAGTAGGACTCGCACTTTTTTCTTGCACTTTTGAAATCATTTTGGACATCTGCTACTCTGTTTACTTGTGAGTCAGCCTTGAGAGTGAGGGCATTTCAGTCATTCAAAGTTGAGGAAGCTAAAGGGAGAAAAGAAAAGAGAAATGATCCTGGCAGCATAGGTTAGGACCAAATTGTAGAGTCGTAAGTTCAACTGTTCACTGATGTTTAATAATATGGACAAGCTACCTAATCCAGTTTTCTCAACTTTATGAGGGTGTGGGACTAAGTTTCTAAATATAGCATAGTGTGTAACAACACAGAAGCCAAACTGCCTAGGCTTGAATTCTGGCTCTGCTACTTACTAGCTTTATGACTTTGAGCAAGTTACTTAAGTTCTCTGTGCCTCATATTACTCGTCTGTAAAATGGGGATGATATTAACCCCGTAGTGTGTTGTGGAGTAGATTAAATGACTAAATACATGTCAAGCTCTTAGAGCAGTACCTGACACATAGAAGTGGTATGGAAGTGTTAACTGTGTATCTTTCAGTTCTAAAGTCTTCCAGTTCTTGAGGTTTTAACTCATCACCAGGCATCTACTCTGAACACTAGAACATAAGAATTATTTAAGAGGACCCACAAAGAGCCATAATTAAAATCTAGGACTTCAGTTTTCGAATCTACCCCTACAATTGTGTCAGATTATGAGCTAGAATTGGATAATGCGTTTCCCAGGGACACATTGCACAAGTGTTTCCTTCTGAAACTTGTTTAGAAAAACGGCCTTAGAGGCTTAATTAAGAGTATACACCCTGGAATCTACTCAGTCTCCCTGGGATGCTAATAATCATTTATACATGTTGAGTAAACTGAAAACATTCTAGTTACTTTATTATTTTTTTTTGTTGTTTCTGATGCTGATACTATCTGGCCACTGTTTTAGCATGTACTTACTGTAAAATACACTGTGTAATAGAAAGTAATGTAGCTGTAAAATAGCACATACGTGCTTGAGAACCAGAGGAGTGAACTCTGAGAACAGCTTTTTCTAAGTAATAACAGTTGTTTACATTCAAGTCACGTTAGAAGAACCTAAAACCAAGACACTGGGCTTCAGTATAAGAAAAAGTCAGTAAAAAATGAGTCAATACGTTTTACCTTGATTTGAAGATTTTCAAATAATTTTTTTCCTCTTTGGAGTAGAATCCTTAGTAAATAGAACAGAAACTAACAGCTCTATGCCGCTTGAAGTGGTCAAAGTAAATAAACAGCCTGAAGCTGTGCCTGCTAGCCTTCTTTCTGTCCACTTACTCCCACTCCTCCCACATAGCCTTGGAGTCACTTTCAAGGAACTCTAGGACTCCTAAACTCACAGTTTAAAAATCAGTGATGTAATTGATTATAGGTGTATTCTGCCTATAGCATATTATTTATTTTCCCTAAGAAAATTGTGAATTACATAAAAACCTAATTCCTTGTTTGTAGACTCTGGATCGTGTAATTTATTTTATTTTGTTTGCTCTCTTTCCTCTCTGGGGATATGTTCTTGCTTTTAATCTTCCGGAGGCAAACCTCAGGAACTTTGTATATTTCCTATGGAGATAGGATTGATCTGGAGGCAGCTGTGCCTGAAAGCTCTCTAATTGTAGAAATGAAAAACCTGATTATCGTGAACAAGAACTTGCTTTAAACATTTATCTTGAGCTCAGACTGTTTCTTTTTATTCATTAGATTTGTCTGCCTCTGCTCATTCCAAGGTGGTGATCTTCACAGTCAACTCCTTGGGTAGTTCTCAATCCTATCTTGATGTGGTGCAGAGCAATGTGGATATGTTCAGAGCCCTTGTCCCAGCTCTGGGACATTACAGTCAACACAGTGTCCTGCTTGTTGCATCTCAACCAGGTACAAGGTTTTATTTTAAATTAATTTGATGGTCCAGTGCATCATTAGAATTGCTATTTCTTTAAAAGTCATAAAACTAGATTGTAAAGGGACAGCTAAAGTATTCAGTTAAATTGCTCTTATAATGAACAATGCAGTATTTTCCATATCCTGTCAACCAGTTACTTCTCCTGACTAGCATTAACTAGAAGGTTACAAGTTACAATTTTTTGTGTAATATTATTATTGCATTCCAGGTTTTTAGTTATGCCTTTCTCAGTGTGAAAATGGTTAAACACCCGAGAGAGATGCAATGGCTTATAGGAAAGATCTTTTATTACTCTGAAGTGTCAGAATGTTAGTGAGCATGCCAGAGTGCATTGTTAACATTTTGTATTTTACATTATTTTGAAACTGTTTTACTTAAAAAAGAAATTTTTCCAAAGAGCTAGGTGGTACTAGACTCAAATTGATGAACAGATTTTTTTAACATTCCCAATATATATATGGAGTATAATACACATTTCACTTGTTTTTCTATAGTAATTAGTTGAAGGTCCCTTTAATTCCTGACAGCCTTTTGGCATTTAAAAAAAATAGTTGTAGTTTTATTGATAATGCTGTACTGCATGGTGGTGGTATATTAATCAGTATTTTAATTTAAAGAGAGAAATTCTTTAAGAATTAAACATAGATAAATATAAAAGAGAACTTGATCAGTGAAAAAAATTATTTTCTGGTTTTATATACCCAGCTTTCATCTTTCTTGCTTAACTGCTCTAGGAAGTTATCTATTTTCCACTCTTAAAAATGTATATTTAACAACAAGGTTATGTAAAATCACATTGAAACCTGGTTAGTGTTTTCAATATACATTAAAAATATATTATGCTTCATAATGCATTTAGGACCTAAGAAGAGTATATACAAGTTCTAATATACTTGATGAAATAATAAATATTTCATTTAGGAACTAGGCTAGAAGTGTATTTCTTTAAATATTTACAATTTTACCTTGTATGCAATATTTAGTGGAAATCATGACCTACGTGACATGGAAACTGAGTGCATTTCCTGCAAATCGTGTGATTGGAATTGGATGCGATCTGGATTCACAGAGGTTACAGTATATCATTACAAATGTTTTGAAGGCACAGACTTCAGGCAAAGAAGTATGGGTTATTGGTGAGCAGGGAGAAGACAGAGGTAAGAAACACATTTTTATTAGTTATACTGGTAACCTAAATCACCAGTGGCCATGATATACATGATTCTGGGGACTCCAGAATTGTGGAGCGTAGTTGGCTTTTGTTCCACATTTGAGTGCCTTTTGTGAAATAGACCTTGTATTGTGAAGAGATTCTACAGACATGTCATTCTAATTGTACTTACTTTTCTATAAGTGAAAGGCAAGACCCTTTAGTTGGGTTTTATATTTTTATTTGTTTTTTAACATTTTAAAATTGAATTTCAGCATCCAGGATCAATTTAAAAGTTTAATTTTCTGGAAAGCAACATTAAAAAAACCCTAAAGCATATACAGAATTCTTTCCTTTACCCTCTTCACCCTGCAACCTTGCTTACCTTTCCTAAGTTCAGACTTTCTCCCTAGGTACATCCCTATTTTTTAAACAGAATTTTCATTCTATTTTCACGCTCATGGCCTTTTTTTCACCAGTTACTTGCTCTATGCTCTGTAACAAAAAGCATTCACAAAATCTAGTTCCCTGAACTGGAAAGCCGCTTTTCCTATCCCAAAAGAATCCTTTCCCTATTTGATTCAAGAATCTTTCTTTTCTCCTTTATTGTTTCCCTAATGCTATAGTCAGGTTGGTTGGGTGATAGAAGTGCTGTTTATCCTAAGTTTGTTCATTTTTACTCATTTAAACAAGTATATGAGTGTCTACTCTCTACTCACTACTCTATAAGACGTTAGTGTGATATAAAAGAGACACAGAGCATGGTCTCTTCTTTCATCATACTTAAAAATTACTTCAGAGCAGCAAGAAAAACATTTACAAGATATTCTGGCTAACAGTGAAAGAACAGGATACTATTTTACTAAGTGCTAAAATGAATATATTTTAGGCTTAACTGTTCTTAGACACTTATGAGCGAGCATTTAGCATGGGTTGAAATGACTGGAGAAAATTCTATACAGGCCATCAATGAACTGGACTTTGGAAGAATGAATAGGATTTGAATAGATAGCAAAGAGTGTGAAAGACATTCCAGGAGTGGGAGATCAGGCAAAGACACATGGTTAAGTATGGCATGTTCATTGGATTAAAAATCCAGACTGGTTGTTGCAGAGTTTCAACCAGATAAGCTTGGATGAAATCACATTTTGGAGATCCTTGAATTCTGATTGAAGATTTAGAAAGTGATTCTTAGGCAGAGGAGGGCTGTTAAAGGTATTTGAGCAGGTGAATGATATGTTGAAAAGGTAATTTGGGGGAAATTAATCATTGCTTCCTCATTTGAAGTAAATTCAGCCAGTAGGTGCTATGGTGCAGAGCACAATGTAGAAGAGAACTTCTTTGCCTGTGAGGAACTGGTCATTACCTGGAGAATTGGAGAAACATTATGCACATTAAAAGTTAAAGGAATCCAATCATAGTGCCACAAAGCAAATCACCTTGTCAAAACTATCAGAATTTAAAGCTTCCTATATGCTTTGATGCCATTAAAACAAGCAAAATACTAACAGAGGTCATGTGAGGGGTGACTTTTAAAGATATGTACTTTTCTGTGTTTTCTAATGTCCTTATGGATATATAGTATTCATATGATTTTTAGGAAAATTATTTTAATAAAATATAGTGGTATTTTAAATCTGTATGAATCTGCACTGGCTATCTAGAAAGTTCAGAGCTAGCAAGAGTCAGGCTATAGAATAAACCTTTACAAAACCTGACAGTGTGATTCAAGCAGAAATATTTTCAGGCTCAAAATACTCCCTGACACTAAACACTAATCAATAGAACCAGGAAAGGGGAGCAAATAAGAAGTTGGAGCAGATGCGTTATGGTAACAAATGTCTGGGGATTCAAACAAACTCAGGACCCCAAATGTTACTCACTACTACCATTTGAGTTCTGGTCCATGTTGATCTCCTGCTTGTCTGATTATTGCAAATCTCCAAAGTTAATTTGTTCTTTTCCCTCTAGTCTACCCTGTAAATGGTGCCAAATTAACAATGATAATAGCCAAAACTTAGTGTTTGCTGTATGTTTCACATATTAATTTAGTCTTCCTGAATCACATTCCTGTTTTCAAAACTTTCAGTCTTCCTCTGACCAAAAACTCTCACTGGCTTCCTCTAACCAAACCATTAAATTCCTTTGCTTGTCATTCAAGGAGACTCAAAATACAGTCCTAATCTTCCTCCCCAGTTATAGTGATGGAGGTAGTTATGTTATTAGAGAGCTGGAAGTGACCAAGGAATCATCAATTACATTTTGTTGTGACCTTCCCAAGAGCTTATAGCTTTTCAGGTCCTTTTAGAAGGACCCAGATCTCGTACCTGTTGGCCCTGCCCCCAGGTTTGCTTCAGCCATGAGGACCTTTGTCCATTGTATTTACCTTTCCCATAATCCCTTGTCCCCCTCTCTCAGCAAATTCAAATCTCATCCTTCCAGGTCTAGATCAAGCCCCTCTTACTTACAGTATGATGCTTTTCCTGACCACATCATTCCACAGTGATTCTTTCATTTCTTTGAGCTTAAAGCTCTTGTTAGCTATATAGTAATTAATCATACATTGTCTCAAGATATTTATTCTTTTGTTATACTGCTGTTTATTCTGATCCAATTTCAATTTTGTGTGTGCCTTCTTACTGAAAGTGTAAATTATTAAGCTGTTCTTCTAGTTGAAAAGTCATACATTTACATTGCAAAAGAATTAAATAGTACAAAAAGATACGTAGTCAAAAATGTCTCCCTTCTATGCAAGACGCCCAGTCCCTCTCTCTGGAAGCAATCACAGTTACCAGTTTCCTCTGCAGCCTTTCAGATATGTTTGGTGTATAGACAAGCACATGTATGAAATATAAATCATAACATAATTCTCCACCTTGTCCTTTTACTTATTAATATGACTTGGAAATGACTGCATAATAACATATATATAGATCCCATTCATTCTTTTTAACCACTGAATATACCAATATTTGTTTAATCAGTCCCCCTAATAAGATAAAGTTTTTGAATAATTAAGAACATTTCGAAATATGGTTGTATTAATATCTCAAATTGTAAAGAGAAAATAAAGGATGATGTGACTTGATAAATAAACTTAAGGCACTGTGCTGACTGCTATTAGAGCTATGTAGATGAATAAGAACCTGACCCTGTCTTTAGGAAACTTAGAGTCAAAGATAGGAGACAATTATAATAAAAGGCAGTTTTGACTTTCTATGAGAGAGCCAAGAGAAATAGGATAAAAGCACAAGGAATGGAGATCTCAAGTAGGAACTAGAAATAGAGAGATGTAGATGCATGTGAATTGTGTTCACTTGAACATACTATTATGTAATATTTGACATATAAAAGGATGCATATAGCATATATGTATGTTTTAAAGCGTAATAGTGGAACAGACATTCATGAATCCACACTCAATTTAGAACATTACAAATACTATTGAAGCTACTCCCTCACCCAGCTCCCTGTCTCCCTTCTAGATACTGCTATCATGTCACTTTTTATCCTGTCTTCTGCTTTGTTTCAAAGATCGTTGTATCTACGGGATAGGTTTTCTCACCTTGGCCTTGAAGCCAGAGCTGGATTAGAGGCTCCCTCTGCTGGTTTCATGTGTAGACACCTGTTGGTTATATTTGCATAAGTGACAACACAGTAATAGCAATTAGAATTATTTTTTACTGAGTGCCTAGTTTGTGTATTAAATGCTTTGCATATCTCATTTAAACTTTAAAAATGCCTCATGATGGAGGTGGTGGTTTTCCAAGTCAGTAGATGAGGAAGCTTAAGACTCAATGAGGTTAACTGATTTGTCTAAGTTCACACATCTAGTAAGGGCAGACCTGAAATTTGAACCTTGGTCTGGTCCAAACCTGTACCTTTCCTTGCTGTGACTTAATTAGATAATTTACTTAAGCATTTAGTACTCAGTAAGTGGTAGCTGTTGCTAAAGTGACCAATATGGTAAGATGGTGATGAATAGAAAATTGGCAAAGGGACATGGAAAAGTACACATTGAAATAAAGCAACATTAGGATTTAGAAACAGTTATAAGAATAGCAGATATGTAAGTAAACTTATTCTCTTCAGTTATTTCAGAGGCAAATGACAGTTACAGACTAGGGGAGGAATTACATGACATACAAGACCCTTTAGGATCTGTTTCCTGCTTCCTTCCCCAGCTTTATCTTTTGCCATTCTGCCAAGCATTTTATGCTAGTCAGATGATCAACTTACAGCTTCTTGAATGGTTCATGCACTCTCATGCCTCCTTGCATTTGCACCTGATGCTTCCTTTCCCTGAACATTCATTCATTTGGCTAACTCCTGCTTACCCTTCAAGACTGAGCTTGAGTGCCACCTCTCCCAGGAAGCCTTCCCTAATTCTCCAGGTTAAGTAAGTTCATGCCTCTGTTATAACCATTATCACACTGTGTTATGATTGGATATTTACTTCTCTCTTCACCTCACCAGACTGTTAACTCCCTGAGCTTGGAAAGGCCTCAGTAAATATGTTTTGAAATGAATGAATGATCCTGATACCATCTTGTGGTAACCAAAGGTCATTCATTTTCTGCCCTACCAAATTACTCAGTAGAACATATGCTTTGCAACTCCTGTTTTTAGCTGTGATACTGAAATTATATGTAAACTGCAAGTAACTCCTTCAAATGGTGTTTTAGAAATCCAAGGGCTGGACCTCAAAACAGAGTGTTATATCATCTACTTTGGGCATTAATCTTACCTAAGGGGTAGGTGTTATATATAATGGAAAAGAGGTCATTTTTTTAATTAAAATTTTTGGAGCCAGATGGTTACTGTTCTTAAGGCGTGGAACCAGAAAGATTAGGATTGATTAGATTAGATGCAATATTTGAAAGGGATCCTTCAATTAGGATAAATATACATTTAACTTAAAGTTTGAATGGTTGGGCAGTAAGTGAACAAAAAATGAAATAATTAAATTAGTTATTAATGATTAACTAGTAGTTAACTTAACTGAAAATTCTAATGACTGTGTCAGAAGCAGATTTGAACATAGTGAAGTTCTCTTTCTCTCTCCAAACATTCTTTTCTCATGGCGCTTAGAAGTCTGAACTCAGAGAGAAAAGATAAAAAAGTGTGGTTTTATGTGTAATATATAATGGCAGCAATACTTATAATTAAATTCCAGACTTTTTTGTGTTGTTTATCTTTTCCTATACCTACCTTGCTCTTTTTATTCATCTTTCCAAGATCTATAAATGCTGTATTTCATTTAGCAGACATTTCCCTGTAATTTTCTATTTGTTGTGAATATACTAATAATGTAACAAAATTTTTTAAGAAAACAATTCATGTATAATCCTTCTATTCAAGTGAAACATTTTTTTAAAAAAATCCCTTAATTTGTCCACATGTATTTATATTTTTATGTAACAATTTTTGGTTTTGCTTTTTTTTTTACTTAACAAAGAAACTTCTTGATGTTTTTCAACTTAACTGTTGCAAGCATGTTTCCTTTTTGGTAAATGTGGTTATGGATTATGTGCGAGGTCAACTCTGTACTATCTCCTGTGCATTCTTTACCATGGTAAAGAATCTGTTTGAGGACATAAAAGAAAAACATGTGATCCCTACCCCCCGGAAGCTTATAATCAGTTTGAGGAAGGGAAGGTGTCCTTTGTTGCTGACACATCACTAAATGGCCTAGTTTTGAATGCAGTTTGGAAGACTTGTTTCTTAAACATAAAACAGTCTTACATATCTGAATGTATTTTTGTTTTGCCTACTTCAATAAGGATTTGTATCAAAGAATGTCTTCACATGGGTGAGAAACAAATGAATATCAGAAAGTTTTCAAAAATGTTACTTCTAATTTAATATTAAAATGTGGTATAAATATTCATTTTATGTGTATAGTTTTTGAATTGTTTTTATAAAAGGTGTTGTGAGGAAATGGAAAACCCAAGTATGCTCTTAGAACACTGGACTCTGCCTCTCTAACAGCTGTGGAAATCTAGCCCCAAATAAGTGACAAAATTATTCCTCATCTGGTGAAAGAAATTAGTCTGTGTGGTTCCCAATGGAGCAAATGCCAAGTGCTTGCACAGCACGTGGGAGCCTATTATAGATTGCCTGCTGAGAAAAGGAAACTTTCTACTTGGGCAGTAAAATGGCCCAATGTTGTTGATGAGACAGAACAGGTAAGGAATTGCAAGTAGATTTGGAGGGTCATGTTTTTGGGGAACTGCAGCTCAAAGTCTTTCTCACCCCCAGCAATCAGTACAGCACATTTAGTGCCACCAGTGGACAAATATAACTGAAGCTAGACGTGAGGGAACATGTTTATTTAAAGTTTAATACAGGTACCCTTAAATGCAGATGATCATTTATCACATTTTAATCCCTAGAGAGTTACTGACAAAAAATATAATCAATTTTCATTTAATTTTTAGTGCCCACATGGGGTGGCCAAGAAGAAGTAATGAGTCATAACTCTCAGGTACAGCTGTCCAACAGGTAATGCTGAGTGTAGATTTGCATTTATCCAACTAAAAGCCATGTTCTTCACAGCTAACATAACAGCTCTTTGTACAGCATGTACTTACCAGGCTTCTGCAAACAAAACTAACTAGTATGGACAAATCCAAAGTACAAGGGAGCAATGTTTTCTTTGATTTCATATCCGGAAGTAGATGTAAGAGTGCTTTGCAAACTTAATTATTTAGATACCCAGTTGACTCTTAAAGGGTAGAATAGATCCCTTATTTGTAGGCAGTGATTTACTGCTCCTATATCTAGGAATAGGATCCTATATCTGAGTATATTGGATATTTTCTTAAATATAGAGGAGAATTTGTCCGTAACACTTAAAAATTAATATGTATTTATTAATCACACATAAATACATTTGGAAATTAGTCGAATATGAATGGATAAGCCACGTTAAAAGTTCAGGCAAAAACACAGTAGAAGACACAGATCTTTGTATCATTTGTGTTTATTCAGAAGCCTTCCAGGGGTCTGGGCCCCATAGGTCGGACTCCACATACTGTATATTTTCATGTCATTTGTTGTTCTACTGTCACAAAATAACATCCTTTCCTGAATTCTGAGTGGTGATTTTTAGCTTTTTAAACCTTCACTTTATGGTTTTTAGAAAATAACAACTGGAAAGAATATTGTCTTACTGAGAAGAGTATTATGTTGTATAATCCATTCTAATCTGCTTCTCTACATAATCCTGCATTTATAGCTTTAAAAAGGAAGGAATTCAAACATGTTTGTTTAATTTATATCATTTTTTATTAATTACAAAAAGAATGTATTTGCTTATAAAACTTTAGATGCTACAGATAACTATAAAGTAGAAAGTGAAAAGCAGAGGTAATTCTATTCTTCAAAAACAACCACAATTAACAGTTTAGGGTCCACATGTCCAAATATTTTTTCCATGCTTCTGCAAACATTATCATCATAATTATTATCTTTTAATAATGAATTTATGTTATTTATA